CCTTCTTTATATTAAATATATTTTGCATGTATATTTGTCATCTTCCTATCTTCAGTTTGTTATTACAGCAACACGTACAAAAGCTTCCATCTTTTTCTAATGGTATGTTAAGAATTCATCATCATTCTTCTATTTAAATATATTATTTTGACCTACCTTTTGTAAATCCATCGATTTCTATATGCAATGTACATAGGACTTTTGTCTTTTTCTACTAAAGTAAATGCTACTTCTTTAATTAATAAATATAGGTCACCTGTTGACCATTTCGTTGGTCAGGTTTATATTTAGTATATTGGTTTGTTTGTTTATATTTTATTTTAATTCTCAAATTTGTTGTTAACACAATTCAGGATAACATGTTTTTCGAAAACAGTAAGTAGTACCTCATGGTATTAATTATTAGTTGGTCACTTTTATTATATTCAAACTTATCTGGTTCTATAAATTTGTATAACTAATTAATGTCTTTTACTATTCATGACTGTTCTATCTTCTTTTTGTTCTTAATTGTTAAACGTGTGATAAATTAAAATTAAAAATTTAACTATAGTAAAGAGAGGAATTATCTGAGTTGTGACAACTTGTTAATCCCATTATTTTCTAAGATCATTTCGACTGTAACAGTCCGATGATTCTAAACTATTTTAGAAATAATAAGCAAACAAAAAATAATCATAAATTATTGATTTCAGGTCAACTTAAAACATAAAGAATAAAGAAAATTAGTTCACTGTCAAGTGAAATGGGACTCAGCTGAGCCGTGACGGCTCGTTATCCCCACACATTTTGTTTTGACTCGTTGTAGTCGTGACGGCTCGGTGATTCAAAATTCATTCAAATTTATCTTAAAATTTATAATAAATAATAACGTGAAATTTAATTTATTTTAAAAGGATTAGCTGAGTTGAGACAGCTTGTTAATCCTACAATTATCGTTTCAGATTATTTTAGCTGCGACAGTTTGATAGTCTGAAACCATCAAATCCAAAACTTTCAAATTAAGACTACTTTCAAAAAAATAAAATCAATCAACTCACAATATTTTCTACAGAACGACGTAGCTTTGAGTTCCCTATTGTACCGAGGGATACGTCGGAGCGGGACTTTTCCCGTCAAGCACAAAAATAAAATTCCAAAATTAGTTTTCTTTTCCAACAAGCATTCTTGTTTATTTTTTTGGGTGAAATAAATATTTAAAATATTATCAATAATTTGCACAATTAATATAAGGTAACCGTTTTTTAAACGGACGATGTAGGGTGCTAATACCTTCCCTACTCGTAATCGACTCCCGAACCCATTTTTGTTTTCAAAGGACCAGTTGTCTTTAAAAAAGGTTTTTCCAATGTTTTCCTAAATAAACCTTGGTGGCGACTCCATTGTTTTAACCATTCAATATTCTTTCGCCGTCACGTCGCGATACGGTTGCGACAAAATCCAGTCACTGTCAATTTACCATCAAGACCTGAAGAAGAGATACCTCTCAGTTAAGGAGGCCCTGCAGTAGCTAATTCTCAGGAAGCTAAAGAATCCTTTAGAGGTAGCAGCCCATTACCTTCAAACCCACCACCAGCTGAAGTAGTGTCTAATGAAACCCTCAATGCAACAAGCAGTGGCACAAGGACCAGGCTAATGGCCTTCATGTCCACACCTGAATTTAGGCCACCAAGGTCAGCTAAAAGGAAATGAATTGTAGGCTCAGTATTTTTTGTATAGCCAACACTGGAATTATAGGCCATTTTTTTGTATTCAAGCCCATTATGAATTGTAGGCCCACATTTTTTGTATTCAAGGCCATTAGAGGAATTACAATATGCTTTGTATTACATGCTATCATCCTTATATTCGTCAGGCCTTTTTTTGTTTTAGTCAGTAATCTTGACTTAGTCATTTGGATACATTTTGTAAATAGGTTCTGATTGGTAACATATATAATCCAATGAAATGTATGGTTGGTATTACAGTAGGCTGGTTATTCGATGATTGGTATTACAATCTGATGTCTATTGCTTACTGACATATATAATGAATGGATGTTCAGGAATTACAAGTTCATAATTTGTGTGTCTACCATTTCTGTTTAATACATGACAGCTCAAATTCATTCAATACTCATCATAGTTGCAATTGTATGTGGGTTCTTTTATTTAACTGTTTTGTGTTAGTGAACTCCTTGCAAGCATAATAGCCTTTGCAACATAAGGTCAATTTTAATGGTTCAAGGTGCTAATATCAATTGCAGCAATTAGCCAATTGCAGCAATTAGCTAATTGCACAACAGATTTAATACTCATCATAGTTTGTTTTATACATGACATAACAGATTTATTTTGATGAAGTGGATAAAATTGAACAGATTTATTTCCATGGTTCCATGCATGATTAAAAAGCACAGGGTGCTTAAAAGCGCATGGTTCCATAAGTCAGAACATATTTATTTTAATGGTTCCATGCATGATTTATTTCCATAATATCAATTGGGCTTGCTGTACTAATCACAGGGTGCTTAAAAAGCACTTCATGTCATATGCTTGTTGTCTTAAAAATCAACAGGGACCAATTCCTCCTTCATGTAGTTATGGGACAATTGTTAATGAAGTACCTCAACCCAGCTAAAGTTTGAGCACAAACACAAAGCAAAAAGAATACAAATTGAAACCAAAAAAGGAAAGCCATGTTAATCAACCTTCTAATTCATTTAAAATAGTACTCATTACATATATGCATTTCAACCAACTTACACAGGGTACACTTTCTTCCTATATTTCCCTACTTCCAACATAAATACATATGATGACCAGGCCAACAATGGTAGCACCTAAGACTCTAGCTGACCTACAAACATGCCTATATTCCTTCTCCGTCCTATCTAACTCTGAAACCATCTTTAGTGAGAGCTCCTTCATATTTCTTTTCAGGTCCTTCATCTTCCATTCTTGCTCATTCAGCTTAACTTGTAATTGGTCACTCAACTTCATGTCCACATACTTCAACTTGAACTCCATCTCAGCTACATCCAACTCAAACTTGTTTATTCTTCCTTCTTCCAGCTCCATCCTTTCGTTACATGCATCATCCACCCATCTAAAAAAAATCACAATGTGGCTTCCTCTCCTGCCACCAAAGGAAATAAGTTGCACATAAGTTTGAACTTGAATCAAAACATATTACAATTTCATACCTTGAAATTTGGACACCAAAGAATGCTCTGTTTGGGTTTCTGTTAGTCTTGGAGGTATAAACAATAGTTGCCTCTCACAAATACACCTTCGACCACCATTCCTTGCAAAGGCTGAACCACCAACTGAAGAGCTTCCACTCGAGCCCCATTTTCCAGAAGAAACACTCATCTTCTCCAACTACATTGCGGGTTTACTTATACCTCAATTGTTTGCTTTTGCAGACCTCAATGTGATATTGATTGGGGAAAATTTTACCCCTGAAAATTTTTAGGGTTCTGTATGTCAATTGGGACGACCAACGTTGATGGTTACCAATTGATGTTCACAACGACGTCGCTCTGTTGTCCACCGTGGCTTGTGAGTAACGTGACTCAGCTCACTAACGTTCCACGTGTGCACTGTTAATTTGGCCGTTGGATGCCAACTAACAGAAGGACTAACGTGGCACATTTTTTTAAAACGCAAGGACCACGAATGACCTTTTTTATTGCGGGGGACCAATTGGGGCCCCGTGGAATTTGTTAGGGACCAAAAATGATATTTACTCTTTATTCTATATTGTTGGGTTTGTATTACCTGTTTTTTTTTTTTTTTTAATTCAATTCAGTTCATTGCCACGTATAATTTAAAGGGCCCAAATTTTGGTTGGTGCGTTCTTATAAATTGGGAGCAAACCCATTAAGAAGCTGGAACAAACATGGGCCATATATTTGGGGCTTACCGCTTACGGAAGAGGTTTTTACAATCAGACCGAGCAAAAATCTTCTTTAACACAATTTCTTTTTCGTTCAAATATAAATTCTCTGATAAGAGAAAGTTTTAAGTAAATGCCATGATATTAAAAAAAGAAGAAGGGTACATTACATGGGACATGTGATATCATTTAAAACCGTGTAAGAAAATTGCCTCGGTGTATGTATTATAAATTTATCATAACTTACTGAAATAAAAAGGATTATACTAATAAATGAAATTAGGCAGCTAAGCAATCTTGACGTACAATGATATTGATATTCAAACTAATTGAAAGAAAATGATGTGTATTAATATCTGTGAGGTGCGTCGTGCATGCATAAATGCATGCATTGTTTCACTCTTATTGTATTTACTTTATTTTTATTTTTTACAAACTTTTATAAACTATACTATGTATTTTTTGCTGGAAATACACTAGATTACACTATATACTTCCGATAATACATAGTATAATTTGTAAAAATTAAACGGATCCGTTTCTTATTCGTAATCAACCTTAATTTTTCTAATTTCTATATCATCACCAAACCGCCCTCCTCTCTTTCCGGGACATCACCTGAGTCAAACACATGCATGAGCTTTTTATGGGAAAATACAGACATTCAGTTGAGTAATCTATTGTCTATTTTTCTGTTATATATATAAAATATAGATAACATACACCTTTGGTTTATAGACATTGAAAGAAACATACATAGCTCGCTTCTCAAGATCAGATCAAGAAAGTGGAAATAAGAAAGAGGAAAGAGGAAAGAGAAATTCCCATGTGGTAGATGACAGATGTACAAAGATGTACACGCATATGCCTCTAGATTGAGAATTATTGAGCATATGTGTTACACAATATGTCTTGTCCATTATGCACAATTGTTCAACCCCAGCTGTAAACTATCTCCTAAACCCTCTATCTGGTCCCATTGGCCTTCTCAATCCAACCTCTCTCTCTCTCAAATTTCAGACCAATCTTAATCTGCATGATCACCATTCCATTATGTTGCATAACATGATGATATATATATGATAATATCATTAATTTTGCTTATATCATATGATCCTTTTTCATTCAACTTTCCAAGCATATAGAAACAAGCAAAACTCTGATGAACCACTGACACTAAAGCCCTCCACTGACCCAGAACTCCCAGTCTGAGTTGATAAAGGAGTGGATGAGGATGATAATGATAATGGTGATGATGAAAAAGATGTAGATGAAAAAACAGGCTTAAAAATGAATAAAGCATGCTTTAAACCAGGACTAAAGAGCCAATCATGAACATCCCAATATACCTCAACTCTCATTTTGTTGAGATGAATTGACTCATTGCCTCTAAATTTCCATTGCAAATTGTTGACATGGATGACCAAGTGCCCATCAAATCTTATCTCCATCTCTGGCTGAACCCCACTTACAGAGTCTGATCCATTGCCCCTTTTCTTGCACTCAATTGATATCTCATGGCACCTACCTTTCTCGTGGAATTTAGCTCTAGTGGAGAATTTCTTCTTCCCAAATATATGTTCTTTTTTTGAAACCAAAATAGGATCAATAAGAGATGGCCTGCACCCGGTTCTTCTGTATGCATCTTTCTTTAGATCTCCAAGAAGCAACACAACCTCTTCATCACAAACCACAGCCACATAGTATTCCGAGGTTGGTTCTGTTTTTTCACCATTAAATTTCGCAGCTTTAAAGTCCCAGAAAACATCAACTTCCTTACCATCTACAATGAAGCGCTTGGAACCTTGTTTCCTCGAAAAGTACCATGGCTTTAGCTCAACAACCTTGCAGCTATATTGTGTTTCTCCTTGTGGGCCTTCAACTGACACTGATAGAACATGAAGCAACAAGTTTTTGCACCATGTGATGGTGATCAAGCGGCACTGATCCGCAATCTTTGTTCTGTATACAGACATGTAAACGCTATGACCTGAACGGATCACAGCTCCATGATCATCAGTTAGCTTCTCTGCAGAAGAAAAGCAAGAGGGTATCCCAATTGAGTCTTGCATTGTATGAACTTGGAGTGCACAATTCTGATGAGTCAATGAAGAAGAAAATGTGATCAGAATGAATTGTGAGGAATTTTAAAATGAAGAGAGTGGGAGATGAGAGAAATCTCAGTGACAGATGTATGAAAGCTAGGTGCTGCCAGGGGTGTTCTTGGCACCATCAATGGGATTTAATAAAGAAAAATATATATTTCCAAACTGGCATATGGACTGGCAGTGACTGAGAGTGAGTGAATAATAACCCTTTTCAAATTATGCACATCTGTCTATAATTAATGTTAAAGAAAAATAAATTTTTTATTTTTAAACTCTTAAACATCTATATTATATCTTACCGGTAAGATACTTTCCATAAAATCTTATCGGCTAGACATAATGTAATTTGTAAAAAAAAAAAAAAATTGTCAATATAATCATCCTTTTAATCTTATTTGTCGTCTCTTTTAATTTTTGATTAAATTGATTTTATATATAATATATTAGTTTATCTATTAATCAATTAATTCAATTCGAGCCAGGTAAAATCATATAGACAGCAAAACTCTTTTCAGCGAATTTTTAATACAGTTATGTAGTTGAGATATTCAAAGTTGAAATCATTGATTAAGTAAGAATAACCTTGAGCTATATATTTGGTGGTTAAAATTGTCTTTTAAATTTGAATAAAGAAAATTTTGAACTCAAAAGGTGGACTTGATTGGCTATATCCAAAAGTGCATACTTCCAAGCATGCTAGAAGCAAGGAGAGGGAGGCCATTTTTCAGCAGATTTGGTGTATAGATTTTTACATGCTACGGACGGGAATCATCTAGTCGTCACACTCACAGCACATGAAACGGGACTAAAATAAGGTCAAGAATACCGGGTCAAAACTATATGGAAAAAAAAGAAATTTGATATTATTAGGGTTGGCTTTCCAATGCAAGGATCATGTTTGGTGTTTCAACTTTCTTCCTTATTTAAGAACATCTCCACTATTGTTGACTGGATTAAAATATAAATCACAATTATTTTTTACTGATCCTGAGTGAATCCCTATAAATTAGAATAAAATAATGAAAAAGATTATACTTGCTACCTATTTTCATTTATAACCTTTCATATCTTAAATGTTAATTTCTGTTAATCAATGATTATCATTTATTGTGAATTAATAATTAATTAATAAATTTAATTTACGAAAATAATAACCGTTGATTGGCAAAAATCAACAGTTAAGATATAATTGTAAAATGTTATAAATAAAAAATAGTTATAAGTATAACTTTTTTCTAAAATAATATCACATTATGATTTCTATCAAGATTTTGCACGAGTAAATCACAATAATTTTTTATTGAAGCTTTACAAATTAAGATTCAAGAAAGGAAAAAATATCATATTAAGATATTTATAATAATTTTACATAAAATTTGCACAAAAAATATAATAAACACTTTTTATCTAATATGAAAATATTTTAAATTATGTCTGAGCTCGTGTGATCGTGTCAACACAAAAAAAAACATTTCACCTAGTTTATAATAATTTTTTTTCTACCTTGCTCTCGTACCTCTTTTTTTCGTACAAATTATTTAGAAAGATATGAATATAGAAGGGGGAAAGAAGAATCAAAGAGTGGTAGTTGCAGAAAAGTCTGAGGAATCTTTCGGCATCGTTGCAGTTGCAGAACTGATCTTAAAAGTTCAGACTAGTTCAGCATTTTGCTTCAAGACAATAGAGTCTTTTGTTTTTAGTCAACAACCCTAAAATTGAGAAGAGAACGCAATGGAAATTTTTTGAATGATGAACCTAAGAGCTTTATTCTAGTATCAAACGTGGTTAGTTCAAGTGATACGTTTGATTTTGCTTAAAAGTAAGGTATTGGTTCAAGTTCTTGTAAATATTAAAAATTTCTTTTGAAAGAGTTAGTTTCATAATAACGTGAATATTTCCGACTCGAACAAAATTATTTCCACAAAAAATACATATGGTTTATATAAAGAAAAATTTATTCTAGCGATTGAATATAAACTTTGCCTCTCATGTGAAGTGGGTCCTCCCGTTATTGCACTCTCTTTTTTTTTTTTTTTTTTTTTTTTTTTAAAAAAAAAAAACTTTTCCATCTGCGAACAATAGTAGTGTTATAACTAAAGAAAAAGTGAGATCTAATTTGCTCAACATAATGCAAGGGAAATGTAGCAAAAAGTAAATGAAAGAAAGCGTGTATAAAAAAAAAGAAAAAAGAAAAAGAAGCGTGGTCCCCTAAAACAAGATATGACATGCCTATCAAGAGCCTTGGAATGTGTCTTAGAACGGCATATAATTGAATTAATGCGCAGATCAATTAGCAATGAAAGAAATGATGGTCTGTGTTAACCAAACCGTCTTATGAAAAATGAGTAGTTAAGCGGTTGTTACAATAATGCTAATAAAAGCTCACCTAATATCATTAAATATGTTTTACTAGTAGATTTGCCAATATAACCGTTATGATTTTATTGTACTTATTTAATAATATGACATAAAAAATAAATATAATAACAAAATTTTAATGGATGTTTAGTTATTTTATTTGGCTAAGATAAGCAAGTGCAAGTAAATATGAAGTTTATGATGAGACAATAACTAAAAGTGTATATTTATTTTTAATTCAATTTAAAATTCAAGTGATTTTAAACTACTGAAATTCAAGGATAAATACTCACTCAGTAGTGATGGTTAATTCATTCTTCTGCCAAAATCCCAAGCCCATATTTACTAAAGAAAAAATCCCAAGCCCATTGATTCTGCAATGTGATTTCCATCTATCCTTGGCCCCACTATTTTATGGGCCACGACTTGAATTTATACGCCCAGCTTGCTCTACTCAGAGCTATATGCCTCTCCACGACATAAGCAAAGCCATACAATTACATGCATGGGTCACACAATGTCTAGTTTGTAGTGTTAGGTAGTGTTTGGTCCAGGAGAAAATTTTTTTTACTAGGGAAATGGTTGGAAAGTGAGTTTGGTAGGAAAATATAAAAAAAGTTGTTTGGTTGACCAAAATATTACCAGAGAAATTTATTTAAATATACAAAATCTATGTTCGGGAGAAATTTTGCACCTGTTTTGCCTAGTATTTTTTGAAAAAACCTGAACAAAACGTGGTATTTTCCAATATTCACTTACATTTTTCCATCAATCCCAAAATAAACCTTCAACCAAACACTACCTTAAAGTAATATGACTTAACTAGTACATAACTTTTCACTTAGGAAATGCGTTGGTCTACCAATTTTTCATAAGTAGCGGTTATATTTATCATTATTTTAGACTTATCACCCTTACAACATAATCGGTTATTGTTAGATCAATTTGAAATCAACAATTAAAAAAGAAAAAAAAATAATCATTGATTTTAAATTAATTCAACGATAACCGATTAGGTAATAAGAGTGGTAAGCCTAAAACGATGATAAATATAACCTACCCCTTTTCATAATAATAACTAAATAGAATTGTCCTTTGTGGTAAATTGTTGGGACTCTCCCAATATCTTATGGTGAAAACCATTATCGCAAACGCTCGGATACATCATGTTGGATTATCGAGGAATAAAAAAAAAAGAATTAAGGTTGTTATGGACTCATATATGATCCTCATTTATTGTATGACCCAATAAGGGGCAATCCAAATATAAATATAATATAATCAAAGGATGATATACATCAAAGATATTAATACTAATACGACAACATTAAACATGGGCTTGAGCTGCTAGAAGAGGCACAGAAGGTTCAAAATTCAATACCTACAGGTAAACTCTATAAATAAGAGGTAAAGCCTACATGTATGATTATTCTCTCTCTATTACTGTTATGTTGCCACCGTGCACACACACCATCCCTTTTGTGAAAGCTGTCTTTTATTCCTTTGTGCACAGTGATCTAGTAAACTCAAGGATATCTAACTCATAGATACCTTAGAGAGAACCTAGATCCAAAAGAAACTCACTAGCCTCTTGGGGTAGACATCTATGTCTTCAGGACAGAACATTGACACCGACTGTGGGGAACGTCTAAACCATTATTTCCACGATCATGATCAAGAATGGTGGTTCATACAAGGAGTAGCGGTCAATTTCTGCCACATCCGAATCTACCTTCATATCCTATTTTGGAGGAGGTAGATCAACCACAAAACCAGCCTGAACATGAAGCAACACCAAATTATGATTTTGTTCATGTAAGCGAAGATATCTCAGATACGGCCTCCACACCGGCTCTGGTGGATAATCCACATAATCAAACGGTGCCTCTCCAACATCATCCAGCGGATCCAGAAGCTCGTCTCACATAAACCGCTTTAAATGTGATCCTAAGGCGAATAGACGAGATGGAACATCGTGGCAATCTTTAGAGGCAGGAGGATGTTTGAAGGATGTAGGAGGAGATGGAGCGCCGTAGTAATATCCAAAGGCAACAGGGTATTCGAAGAATAGAGGAACTAGAAGAGCGTCTAATGCAAATTAGAAATTAAGAACATGTTGGAGGCCAAATCCGAGATGAAGAAAATAGAAGAAGGCATAGAGAGGCCCATGAGCCCAGGGATGCGAATGATACAAATAATCAGGTCCAAGTTAAGGATCAAAATCAAAATAATTTGGTCTGAGTTAATACGGACCAAAATCGGAACAATCAGGTCCGGGTTAATATAGATCGTAACTCGGATAAACAAATTCGGGTTAGAGTTACTGAAAGATGTGGTGTAGTCAACACTGACCGAAATTTAAATGCTGATATTCAGGTCCAGTTATAAAAATAAAAAAAATAAGAAATAAAAAATGGAAACCAAATGAAACCGAAACTAAATGAAACAAGAACTAAATAAAAATGGAAACCAAATAAAAATAGGAACTATATAAAAGAGAAACTAAGGAGAAATGGAAATTAAAGAAAAATGAAAACTAAAATGAGGGGTTTTAATATGATTGTCAATTTAAACGGAAATGAAAAATAAAATAACAAACGAGAATA